CGCGCCGCGCCGCACCGGCCGCGAAGTGACGACGATAAGCGAGAAGTCGTGTTCTTTCGGCTTCGACCGGGCGAGTCGCGATAGCGCGCGTTAACTCTCAGCTTCACACACACACACACACACACACACACTTTGCCATCGGGTTTGGTTCCAGCGCCGCGATCGCGGTTCAAAGTTCAAACTCGATTTAACTTTGAAATCGGGTCCGCTCGCGTTGACCGCTCGATGGCCAAGTGCCCTGCACCGTCCAACCGACGACGCTCCTCCGCGCGAGTGTCCCGAGAGTTCAGGCTCTCTAATTGTCGTGCCAGCCGCGATATCGGCCGTCCCGACGTTTTTACCCAACGTCGCGTCACCCGCTCGCGCTAATGCAGGGCGGGTTTATGCGTTTAACGAGGCGTACGCGGGGGTTAAACGCGTGACTTGCTTTTTTCTCCTTCTCTCTCTCTCTCTCTCTCTCTCTGCCACCGCCGCTGTATACGAATGAAATTTCCACGATTCGCTTTGGTATGAAATACTTTGAATAATTCGTGACGCTTGTTGGCTAGGGGATGCAAATGTGGGCTATTTATTTTTTCGCCTATCGTCGTTATTTTAGGCTCGCCGCTACGTGGATTTTCAGAAGGGATTTCGCAAATGGTCGTTTTCTTCGCGCGAGCGGAGATATGCTTCGCGGTGGGTTCGAGGGTAAAATGAGGGTTAATTTATAAATATTCGATTTCTGCTCTCGGCAGCGCTCGAAATTAAGAAGATCAGGTCGTGGTGATGAATAATGGATGTCTTGTTATTTTGACTCGAGAATATCGTATTCTGTATATAGCTGTACTTAGCCTATATATATTTATGATATTCTGTTTTTTTCGCGATGAAATATTACTGTCGCTCTGCCAAATTAGAACTTGTTCGACTTTCATCTTTAAAAATAGTTATATCAAGAGGTGGGAAATATTTTCTTCCATACGAGCATACTCGATATGTAAATTTCAGAATGTATAATGTAGCGAAAACATTTGTACGAATAGTCCAGTCATCCGATAACCGGCCACGCGTATCATCGAAAAGTGTGCGCAGCCGCGATATGTTAATTCTCGCAAACACGATAATAATAATAATTTGCAAATGCGTGGTTCGAATACGCAGATCAGCGTACTTCAAGATAATATAACCTCGGCACATATATGCATATTGCAAATAAAGCAGGATATACGTTATCTATAGAAATAACCGCAGGTAGTCGTACCCTGCAGTTGGGAAATCAAAGAACCCCAATTAATGGAACCCTTAATTATATATGGAAAATTGGATCCCGATGCAACGAGGTTTTCACGTATAACGTAGTTTATAATGCGGAGAAACAGATGTTAAAGATGCAAGGCTCGATAAGTAGTTTTTGAGGTGTTCTGTGAGCATAAGTTATTTACATTCTTGATACCCCACAGCTAAAAAAAAAACTATCCATTGTTCGGTCTTGTGTCTACGTCATCTTTTGTTTACAGAGTTGAAACTACATTCTTGAACTTATTTCACCGAAATCCAATTTTTCATATAAGGTAAATGTACCGGTTATTGGACAGTTAAGGAATTCCACGACGAAATCATTTATTTAAACTTTAGAAACATTAAAATTTTAGTTTATTACACATGCTTACTAAGAATGGATGTTTTCTGAAACTAAATCCATTATCAAATATGTTATTTGCGTTTATTATAAATTGTATTTAGTCATAAATATAATATCATTCAAATGTCCTAATTATTGGACAAAAAATGTGACGCGTCTCTGTGTCCACAAAAGTATGACCCAATTATTGGACAAATAAGCAATTTCCTTATTATAGAAGAGAATCGCATTTTACTTACTTATCAATCAAGATTGTTCAAAAAAGTTTATCGAAATTGTAATTAGTGAAGTTTTATATAAAGTTTTATATGTAATATATACAAAATATGTTTGCAGTAGACAGGTACGCTAAGGAATGTCCTAATAAATGGACGATTGTCCATAAACGAAATTTTTTTTACAAAAGTATCATTTTTAATATGAATAAATTATATAATACTTAATTTCTAAATAATATGAAAAATTGCTTAACGAACTGGTACATTTACCTTAATTAGCGTGAGGTACTTTAACGTACGTATCTTACGTGTTTCTAAACAGTCCACTCAAATTTTGATGCTCATTTAACACAAGCTAAATACGTTAGAAAGTAATTCAAATATTATGTAAAAAATTAATACCAAAAATATAATATTACCGTAATTTGTAAGCAAAATTATAAAAACATCATATGTATATTTTTAGTAAAATTAACATTTATAGTATATTAAATTAATATGTATTTTATTCATTTGTCTTACATTTCAAAACACATTTTTATATTATTTGTTCACTAACGTATAAATTATGTTATTTTAATACAAGGAATGTTGAATATCAATTTAACAGAAATTCAAGTAACGCAATCGCATATTAAATTAACACATAGACTTATTAAAATTTCAACACAATAATTTTAATAAGAACCGATTTTAACACAAACGTAACATGTTTTCTACCGTATAACGTTCTCAGAAATCTTAATTACCTTTGTACGAATGTCACGTGACAGTGCGCATTTAGCAGCCGGCCGGCTGGTAAGACGTGCTAAATCGCGGGTTTATTCCGGCCTGCCGATGTATAGTTGAAGGGGGTAATTTCCGAACGATAATCGCTGTTTGAAGCTGTCGATCGTTCCATTACCTCTGCCCTCGTCCATCGATTTACAAACGATTACTTGTCTTCCGCAAGCTCATCGTTGCGTATATACGCGAAGACGCGGTCGCGATCGCGTCGAGTGTTTTAATTAAATATGAGACGATACTAAATTTTCGTGCGACGCGCGCTAAAAATACAAGCGCCAAAAGAGAATGAGGTTAAAGTGGCAAACTAATTTCAACGTTGAGAGAGCAGTCGTGAGTTCGATGAACGACGAACGGAAGGCTGAAAATGGCCCCACGGGGAGATTTTGCAATTTCTTTAGTAACAATCTCGGAATTTTGTTTATGGCGATCGATGCGTATACGGCGAAACGTGGTGAAAGGGCAATTCCCGAACGACAATGGTTTGTTCGAAGCCGACCGTTCCATTATCTCGACCGATTCGCAAACAGTAGTTATACACTCCACAAACTCACTATTTCATAGGTAAAGACGGCTGCCGTGTGCCTCTCGCGATCGCACGGCGAATGTTTTAATTAAGTACGAACTTAAAACAAAGTTCCGTCGTGGATACTAAAAATGCGCTTGATACCAGACGCGGCGGAAGGGAGTTAAATCAACGAACTAATTTCGAAGCGAAACACACCGCGCCGAACCGGCTTCGATTGGACGATATAATGCGGAGGAGAAAAAGTCCGGATTCGCGCGAGGGAGAATAGATTCGGCGATTTTTCTGGCTGACTGTTATTCCAATTTATTCGAGCTGAACGAAAATAATAATTCGCGAACTCGTCGCTGTGTAAACCGAGACGCGACCGTTTTAAATTCCATTTGATTCTTCGAGATTCTCTCTCTCTCTCTCTCTCTCTCTCTGTCGGCCGATAACTTGAATATAATTCAATTATATATCGACTCGCGAATTTTTGTTTATCGCGGATCGAAGAGGTCCCTCGGTATTTTCGTACGCGACTAGATATTGTTATTCCCGGCGCTTTGCATGGATATACATAAATGCATGGCGCGCTTTGTGTACTAGCTTTTATTCGCCTAGCTTTTATTCTTCTGGTTTTTATTCTTCCATGTCACGTTGCATTTTGCCGCGCGCGAGCAAGCTAGACGAGCCGTGTATGCATTTACCGATGTATACATGTACATTCGACTGTCGTACTTCTCTGTCGACGATTTAATCGGACGATTTCAAGATAATTGCGAAATTGACGTCGGGTATTAGCGGGTACGTTAATTCACTAATTCACTTGTCATATAATGAATGCCGCCGCGCGCGACGCACCGAAATTATTTTTCGAACGGTGCGGCGAGCGCTTTAACTCGCAAATCAGAAGCGATTCATGCTATTGAACTTGGACGGACAATCAAAATATGCCTGGCACGTCAAATGCGCGCACGCATGCCGAAAAATAGATTTCGATAGCCCTCTTACGAAGGCTTTATTCGCGTAGATTCGGTTATTGTCATGCCAACGTTGATTCGCAATAGTAACTACATTTCCTCTCTATGATTAGAGAATATATTATATTTGTAATGAAATCTTGTAACTCCATTGAAAGTCATTCGAACCGTATACGATACAATTTGTATATTTCCTTTGTACAAAAACTGAAGCATCTAAAAAAACATAAATGTTGCTAGATACTGTAAGGAATTATCGCATTATGAAAATAATTAGTGGGACGTTCATTTAAACTGATATTCAAATCATTATTAAATACTTGAGCTGAGTTTTTAGATATTTGAGCAAAAGCGTTCTTTCTTTTTTAATACATTTTTAAAAACATTGAACTTTTAACACTCAAAATAAATTGCCTTCCAATATTAAATTTTTGTAAAGGACATTGTTTGAACATTTTGTCGCGATCAAAATTTTTATCGTATTTTATCATTCTATTAATTATTATTATAGATATTTACACGACTGTGACTACTATTCTCTCTCTCTCTCTCTCTCTCTCTCTCTCTCTCTCTCTCTCTCTCTCTCTCTCTCTCTCTCTACTCTCTCTCTCTCTCTCTCTCTCTCTCCCTTTCTCTGTCTTATTGCTGTTCTGTAAATTTTGACGTTAAGAATTCACTCCGAGACTTTAACAGAACGTCGCTTTATTCGATTGTAAAACTTGTACATGCTTATCTGAGAAGAACAAAGTGCCGCTTTGAAGTGTACTTGACGCTACAAATCCATCTCTCTCAATCCGCGTCTCTCTCTCTCTCTCTCTCTCTCTCTCTCCCTCTCTCGTTGTGTAATATATATTGTACTTTATCTGTGAGAAATATGATCGATCGCGTACCTGAATAGATCAGCAGCGACGACAATACGAGGAGCCGGGATAGTAGAACGGCGAAGGCCGCGCGCAACATCCTCGCTCCCGCGAGTGATCCTGATTCTCCAAGATCGCCGGGAACGTTCCGCGACGATGACGCGCTCAGCGCGGCGCGGCGCGACGCAACGCGACGCGGCGCGCGGCGCAGCGCAACACGACGGCGGCACAGGCAAAGGAGATCGACCTATCTCCTAACTCCCGCGACCGTCATCACTCGTAGTGAGTCGTCATCACACAGGACGGGGGGAGGGGGGGAAGAAGAGGGAAGGATCGAGTCCACAACGTGATCCCCGGTAAATCGTCGGCCGCAGCGAATTCGCAAGCGCGTTTTTTTTTTCGGTACTTTTTTTTTTTCTTCTTTTTTCTTTTCAAACGCGTTTCGCGCGAATGCGTTGGAGAGTCGCCGGTGCGAGGAAATCGATCTTTTTACGTTGGCCAGCCGAGCGAACGAACGAGAACACGCGCGCGACGCAACGCGGTACTCGCGCGCAAGAGACGGCACGAGGCTTCCCACTCGCGCGCGCAACACGAGAATCGCGCGTCGGTAAAGAGTAGTATAAAATCCAAAGAGCACGACAGCGTTGACAGTGGCGGCGGTAGCAACGAATGTTTCAAGTACTTGCGGCGACTCGTGGTGACACGCGACACATAATTTTCTCCACGGCCGCCCCTTGACTAATTGAAAATCTATATACGGCTGCGTTACACGGGTTTCCACCTTCCGCGGAAAGCAGTCGGTACTGCGGCATCGGCACCGGAGGAGGACGAGGCGCCGAGGCGCGCGTGAGAGGGTTGGTGCGACGAGTCGAGGAGGGCGGGGGTGTTGTGCACCCCGACGTGTGGAGGAAAGAGAGAGGAGAATTAGAGAGGGAGAGGAAGAGAGAAAGAGAGACGTGACGAAGTCGAGGAGGTGGTAGCGAACGGCAGTGCTGTTGCTGCTGCTGGTGCTGCTGGTGCTACTGCTGCTGCCGCCGCTGCCGCTGCCGCTGCTGCTGCTGCTGCTGCTGGTACCGCTGCTGAGTGTGGTGCTGGTGGTGGTAGAGGTGATGGCAGTGGTTCTGGCGGTGGTGGTGGTTGTGCCGATGGTGGCAGCGGCGCTCGAGGAGAGGGCGGAAGACCACCTGGCAGCGCGGGGTGGAAAGAGCGCGAGGAGGACGGAACGATCGAGGTAGAGGTCGAGGGGGTTTGGGAGAGAGCAGGAAGAGGAGGAGGAGGAGGAGAAGGACGGAGGGAGAGGGCAGGGTGAGTGAGTTCGAGTTGCTTCCTGGGCGACTGCGCTGTTCTCCAAGTCGATGATCGCTGCAAAATCTTCCGTCTCTCTCTTTCTAGCGCGAGGACTGGCCCCCTCCCCCCTCCCCTCCCCCTCCTCGCGCACTATCTGTCTCTCTCTCTCTCTCTCTCTTTCGGTACGTTCCTCGTACGTACGCGCGCATTTCTCACTTCCACGCTCGGCGAGTGTATGCGTTTGTCGTATATATACACAGATATATGTATGTGCATACATACGTGCAATGTACGCGCGAAAGAGGGTGGGGGCGCGCGCGCGCTCGCGCGTCCGTGCGGGCGCTAACGAAATTGGCGAAATACGCTCCGCTCGGAGGAGCGCGGACGGGAAGCTACCGTTCGCCGCCGTCCCTCTCGGACTCGCGGCGTTCGGCGTATATCGCGTCGTCGTCGTCTCACTTTCAACCGCATCGCGCCGTACCGCGCCGCACCGCGCCGCACCGCGCCGCACCGCGCCGCGCTGCCACCACGATGTCGGTCTCTCAGCTGCGGGAAAAACGGTCGGCGGACGAGAGGATAACGCGGAAGTTAGTTGGCGATCGTCCGGGGCGATCTTCCGTACACCGGGCTTAATCCTGTGGCCCGGTAATAGGATCGACCGGCGATCCCTCGGGGAGTATCCGGCGCGACTCTCGAGATTTTCGAATTTATGGGGGAATTGCGGGCGTACGTACGCTTCTTGGACGCCGCCGTATGGAATATGCTCCTCGCCATAAATCCGAAATTCCGAGTGGCCCGAACGACGTCCATTGTTGGGCCGGAGAGTGTAAGGAGAGTCCGTCGTCCCGCGCGATTGTCCTGCAAGACCGCCCAATGACATTTGCCAGGGAGAGAATCCGAGATATATTTTATTTATAAATCAAATCTCCTTTGCTTCTTCTCTGATTGAATTAAAGTAAAATAATGAATCTCCGATATAAATCCACGACTCTCATTTTGGCGATGTTTTCTCACATGTTATATGTATATACGATTGACTTGGATGTTATGTTTCTCTATGACACATTTTCGAATAAACAACGAATGTATTATATAATATTGTATTATATTTCGACGCTTTAAAAGAATATGTGCTGTTTTAGAAAGCTTAACAAATATAGTTGAGAATAGCCTACATCCTACGTTACACCTTCTTTAATCTCTCTTCTTTCTAATTTCCATCGCGCGCATGTCAACGGATCTCGAAATTATTAATCCAACATGACGGTACCATTTCAGTGACAAGGTGCAGCAATACAAGGTAATTTCAGAGCTAAATCGCGAGTAAAAGAAACAGCATTATGTTAACGAACGTAATTAATGTATGCCGCAGTCTTTGCGACGTGTAGCTACTCGAGAGATATGTAGCTACAGCGCTATGGTACTCGGGAAATCTCGGGATGAGTATTATTCCTTATTTGAAGCATAAGCTCGGTATCAACTCGCTCGCAGTGCGGTGCCGGTGGTGCGGCCGTAATGGGCTTCTCCTACGCGTTACGTCAAAAAAGGCGTAAAAAGAATAAGAGGAAGGGCGTTTCGTGCAGCCACTCGGGGAAGGAGCGGTCTGTATATAGCGAAAGAATTTCTCTCGCATTTCGAGTTATTGCACTTGACAGGTTTCTCGCCCCTGCGCTCACTCCGCCATGTTACCACGGCGAGTGCCGGCGAGCTTGCGGCGAGAAACGGGAAATGGGAGGATAAGGCGAAAGTTAGTTGGTGATCGTCCGTGCATCGAGCTTTAATCCTTTGTCCCGGTAACGGGATCCTGGCGTTAAATCCCTTCGGTCTCGCATCCGCGGAGGATCTTTCGTACTTGTCCAAATAAGGGCGGTAATTTAACACCGCGGAGACGAGCGAGAGCGAACGGTCATTTCCACTGTTCCCTCGAATTCTCGGTTGCCGTAAAATCCCGAATTTACTCTCTCCCGATTGACTTACACATTATTTTATCCTTCCACCTATATTCCGTTCTTATTATTCGACTTTTTATCGTTATAACTTTATGCGAATATCTCTGAGGGTTTTCTGAAAATTGCAGAAAATTGCAATGGAACACGATAGCTTTTAGTTAATTTTTAACAAATTTAATAAACAACAATAATAGTAATAATCTTTATTAAAGTTCAAATAACAAGAGAAAAAAATAAATCTACAGAATAAAATACAATAGAGAGCGGAAGATGTACTTTTAAAGGGGTGAGGCATCAGCATAATGCTGTTTGAAGCCTATAAGTCTATATGATACGAAAAAAAGAATAGAATTAATGGCATATACGTGTGTATGTGGTGGACGAAACAATAAAATAATAAATATAAAATCTTTTTTTCTTCCTCTCTGTTTCAATCTTGTATTATTCGACTTTTAGGCAATAACTTCCGTGGTTATTCTTTAAGGCACAAGTACCCAAAGCGATCATTTCGACCACCGGCGAATTCCAAATAGGTCACTTGATAGACCTTCCGCTTGGTTATTTGATAGACTTTTGCGGTCTTCTATCTAGTCTGTTCTCTTACAGTTCTCTTGCACTTGTCCAAATAACCCCGATGGTCTTCTAATCGAAGTAGCGGCGATTTTGTCCGTCGGGGAATTTTAAACGCGAGTAATCCCGTTTCTACTTGAGAGATTCCTACATTTTTCAGTCTGTCCATTGCGCCTTCGCGCTCTTTAATCTTCAGCGGTAATGGGGACCGCTATATAAATAGCTCCGTTTGGAAAAAGAAGATGGCCGCTGCCTAGATGTAAGGACTTTTTAATAGCTTTTTTTTTTTTTTCAAGCAAACGTCGCACACATGCGGAATCTGCTAATTAATTTTGACAAACAGTTTTCCAGTTCTTGAGAAATTTCCCGTGCAAAAGTATAATATTGACGACAAACGGTATACCAGCAGTGTTAAACGTTATTCGAGGATCGAATCACAGACGCGTCTCTTCGTCGCGCTCTTCGCATAGTTACATGTTACATAAAGCAGATGGAAGAGTGTTTCGCATAGTTTCTCGTTGCCACGAGATACACGCCGTGATATCATAGAATCTCTTTCGCATTTGTGAAGTTATCGCGCTTGGCTGCTCTCTCTCTCTCTCTCTCTCTCTCTCTCTTTCTTCTTATGTAAATAGGATATTCCTATAATGCAAATTTTTGTCTTCTCACGTATACATGTATGATATATAAATATATATGTTCTTATTTTTTCGATGTTTCCTTTTGTTTCATGTTAAATTCTATCAATATAAAAAAGCAGGGATAAATGCCAGAGGCGCAGTTAAGATCCGCCGGTGATCGTTCGAGATGATTTCCTGTATATCAGCTGGATTGAATCTCGTAATCCGATAAACTGCCGCAAATGCCGCAAAGTTCTCAGACGATCAGTATTTTGGTAGCTTTATTTAACACGTTCAATGTTACGCAGATAATATGTCCTATAATACGAAAATCTGTGCGAAAATCATTGACTCGGAAGTAGAAGAAAAATATCCTCGCGAAAAGTAGGATATCATGTATATATATTCTTTTAATCTTTGATTATATATCTTTGGACGATATTAAAACTCCAACAAATAGCTTCACATCCTCTTTGTTCGACTAAATACTAAGGTAAAGGAGAGGTATGGAAGCAACTAAGCGCTGAGATTTCAATATTCATCTAACGATCGGATTGCAGATTTCTATTTAAAGCGTTGTGTAAAACATGAAGACGCGTTCGCGGAATTCGTTAGACGTGCATTTCGCTATTGCGTCGATTAAATAAATTCCTGGCAGCAGGAAAGGGCGAGAGAACGCGGCGAAAACATTAAAGAGTTTCCTTCACACTCGGGAGTTTCCGTAACTCGATAGCTTTCTCGCCTTGGCGCACTCCGGTCGGTTCTTCTTTGGCCGACCAGCGCCAAGCTGCACAGGATAAACGGCCAGTGGATGAGACGATAACGTGAAAGTTACTTGGTGATCGTGTAAGGCAATCGTCCGTGTATCGTGCTTAATCCTCTAGCTCTCTGGTAACAGGATTAACATCGAGGGAGGGGAAAGAAACTTTTTGGAAGGATCGCACACGCGCACCGATTAAATGCATCGCGTATTTACCGGATCGTCGCGTAGTCGATTCGCCGTCGAATAAACATCCGCCGTTTCGTCAAACGAGATCGCAAATTGGCCGAGAAAGTAGCGGAAGAAGATGTCGAACGTGCGTAATTGATTAAACGCGATTTCACGAATTTGCAAACGAGACAAGAGAGAATGACGACCTGTTGACGCTTTAGTGTTTCTTTTTTTAAATTTATTTTTTTTTTCTCTCTAACTCTTTGCCATCCGTTGCACTTGTCCGTCATTCAGCGATTTTCGCGTTTAATTATGCGCATTGAAATGCAGGTAACGTATATGAGCACCGAATTAGAGGCGAGGTTCATTATATAGCGATTGAAAATTGCCCAGTATAAACGTGTCGGTTTTATATCCTGCAAAATGAGCGCCAATCGAATCGATATTCGAAAACCATTTGATGAAATGATTGCCGTGGAGTGGATTAACCGGAAGTTCGAAACAGGCGATGATAATTACAATAGATCGCTCGCATTTGGATCTCCATTTATGGATGGATAACTCTGTAACGTTCTCAAATTTCTGACTGCTTCGAAGTGGATTACGGTTAGGATACTTTCACAAAAGAGAGGACGGATCGATTTGTGTAGTAAGCATGTACCGTATGTGTTATGTTATCAC